CCCAGATAAAGTATTAGTGGAGTTTAGATTTCATTTCCACAAACTTGCTGAGACAGACTCCATAAATTCTTTTAAAAGGTGATTAAGTAGATCCTTGAAAAGGGAGGACATTGAAGGGTAAGGGCAGCCAGCACGAACGTGGGCTAGATTAGTTGTAGTGTGGTGAAAAATACATTGGCACAGGTTTGATGAGCCAAATGGCCTGGTTCTTGTGTTGCAGCAATCTATGATTATGGTTCTGGGGTGAAAAATACACCCCTTTTAATCTCTGCATTCACTGAAAGTAGCGAGCAACAGAAAGTCTTAGAATCAGAACCCATGTTGTGTTTCAAAACCTTGATAATATCTATCTTGGATCTATATTGGAGATGCACTTAGTTTTTTGGACTCTGTGAAAGGAAAATGGGAAGATTGGGATGAATCTTAAGTTGGTTGTTACATCTCTTTTCATTCTGTGAAAACTTATCAGAAACAATGAAAACAAAATCTGCTCTATTTTCATGTGCAAAATGTACTCAGCTCCTTGTTTTCTAAGGTTTTGAAATATTCTAGTTCTGATACTATCGTTTCAAAATGAGCAAGAATGGAAATGGAAAATACCGTATCATAGTTGTCATCTGAAAGGGAAGAATAAGTTAATGTGAGGAAATGGGAAGTGGTGCTGATTTAATAACGTGTTAATATAATTTAGTGGGGGTGGGAACGCAACATTTTGCTTGCATTGCTCCTGAAAGCAATCATCCATTTTTAGTAAAACGCGAAGTGTTGAAACCTTGCTATGAAAATAAAAACTGCTGGCAAAGCATTGCTGGCATAACAGTACCTGACAGAGCAAAAATTGGATTCTGTTTCTGTTAGGATCTGTCATTAAAATTGAGGTTGATGAAGAGTTATACCAAAGCATTAACTTAGTGTATGAATTCCTATAAGACAACAATCTCCATCCTGGGTTTATATTGGACTCTGTTCTGATAATTGTGCCAGTCCTCTCTTACAAAAGTTTGTGGAATCCTGTAGCTTTGTGGTTAGATCACTTGCCTCGCAACCTGGGTTGGATTCCCGGCGAAGGCAAAATGTTGGGCAAGTTTCCTTACTTGCATGCCTCTGTTTACCTAGCAGTAAGTAGGAACCTGGTTGTTAGTCGTTTAGCGGATCGCTTTTCTGGGGGTAATAATCACTTATTTTTTAAAAAAATAATAATACTTTGGTCACTCACTGCATGACTGTTTGTGGGGCACTGCTGCGTGCAATTGGCTGACATGTTTCGCCCACAAAGTATACAGTGTGGGCTTTACGGGTTCCTTTACAGTATATCCTATGAAACGCTTTGAGACGTCTGGAAGACGTGATAGGGCACTATAACAAATGCAAGGATCATTATTAATTTAAATAATTTAGAATGTTGATCTCTGGATTGTGATTATGATGGCATAAGCATTGTTAATTTATTGCTTTGAAAACTAAAGTTTGGATGCATTTGATGAAATGTATACGACAAATTTAATTTTGCTATTTTCTAAAATGCAGCCACTAACATTGACAATTAGCTCTGCTGATATTCAGTAACCTTTGTTACTTAATGACCTGAGCCAACATCCTGACTTTCTATAAATTTCAGACAGAGTGAGATGGCAAAGTCTCCACTTCCAACAGTGCTGACATAGCCCCTGGCTGGGAAACTAATTCCATATCTGCTTCACTGTTGTAACGGGGTCAGCTGCTGCTGACAAGTTTCCTTCAGCTGTCTGCTGACATGCTTTTATATCAGAACTGCTTCAATCAGAAGTAACTCTGTAACATACTGGGCTGGTTACAACATGGAACCCATCCCATTTGCTCAGATTCCATCACATCAGAACATACACACAAACAACTATGCATGAGCATAGTTTCTTTCGGGTTACTGTACATCCCTTGGCTTTGGAGGAAAATCTGTAACAGGCCAATGATGCAGAACTTGCAATAATGGCTTGTATAGGTGGACTGGGTGCTCGGTACACCTGTGACCAGTGAAGTGAAGCTGGCCAGTCCACGTTGTAAGCCAGAATTGCACAGAACACCTGGGTCTAAGTGATAGTTAGCTGCCGCCACGTTACACTCTTGGAGGCCCTTCAAAACATTGTGTAGCTGTAGGCTTTTTTGGGTGTCTCTCGTGCTAGTGCCTCCCCTGAGGGATGCTTCACATAGCTGCTGAAGTCAGTGTTCTCCTCGCAGGAGGTGCTTTTACAGGTTTCAGATCCTGGCTGCCATTCTGCATAAAATTCCAATTAAAATTTGCATTTAATCTATTGTTTATCATTTGAAGAATCTTTATTTTCTAAATAAATTCAGACAAGCAATGATCAGCCTTCTGGGTTATGTTTTTTTGCAAATCTCACCCAATTAATAACAATTAATAATACGGCTTGTCAGCAGTGCATTAGTCAACACTGGACAATCCTGTGCAGCCCCCCCCCCATATTATTCATTTTCTGCAACTTGTAGTTTAGAGACTGGCAAACATCCAACTAAATACTGCTAAGATGCACGTCCATAAATATGGAGAGTAAAAAAAGGGCTCGAGACATTGGTAATCGTAATTTGGTGTAAGGTGCCACAAGGTACGAGGATTCTGATCAAGAATCATGTCAGAAGGTACTGAGCAAAGTATTCCCCCAGGTAAGTACAGGTTAGAAGTGACAATATCTTTACTAAAGGACAATGAAAATGACAACTGTCAGATAAACCAAGGTAGGAAAAACAGTGCCCAGTTTCAGGATTGTGAATCGGAACTTCAGAACAAGCCCCAGGAAGTGTTTCTTTATACAGAAAAGAATTAACAGCTGAAGCGAGTTATAAGGAAGATTACCTAAGGCTAGGACACTGGACTCATTTAAGAAACAGCTGAATCTGTAGTAGAAGGACGTTCGGGTAGTTATTTTGGAAAGGTGAGATCAAATTAGGTCGAAGGGCCTTCTTCACCTGAACATCTTTTGTGATTTTTTTAAATACACTTCTACATCTTCTGCTACAGTACTGCAATTGTCCTGGTGGACATACCCCCAGATAAATTGATCATTCGCGTCATGGCTGTTTGTAGAAGATTGCTAGGTGCAAGATTTGCTGCTGTGCTCATTGACAAATGTACAGTCACCTCACACAACAATACTTACCTGTGAAGCATTTAGGGACATTTTTACCTTCTTGGCGTTATATTCTTGGCAAGGTTGGATGTTATTATAATTCCATGTCTCGTGGAAAGCCTCTTGCAGTATTAAATTGGGTTTTTCTTTACACGTTGTATGATCTTGACCGTAGTCTGAAACTGGGTGTCTTGCCATCTAAAATAAAGATAATGCAACAGGTGGCCTTCTATTAACTAGAGAATCCATACTCCTGTTATCGATGTTGAAGCTTTCTCTTCCATTCGAGTGACATTTTCGGTTCAATAAAGATCCTATAAAATGAAAATGTAAAATGCAAATTGGATTATCTTTGAACATATCACAAGATTGTTCATGTGAAGTACATCAATACTGGGGGTTATTAGTGCTACCCTATCATGTTTGTTCTCCAGATACCGTGTTGTGATTGAGCAGCAGTAATAATTGGTACATCTGTAACTTGTGCAACAGTGCAATTAATTGTAGTACAAGGTGTCGCAGTATGTACAATTGATACAGTGGTAACATAGTTGTTGGAGCGTGTACTCTCCATGGAGGAAGCTCAGACTTGCCAGTTCACACTTGCAAAACAAGACTTTCTATCCTGCAAGCAACCACCTGGTTCAGATTTGTACGATTCCGAAAAACATAAGAAAGCATGGAAGAAGAGATTGCTCATCTTATGACTAACTCTGTCATGGGCTCAACATAATGCGTTTCATCTCCTGAGGGAAATTTCTATTGACTCTCTGATCTTCAAATGGTATGCACCACAGTTCGATCTTTCAAACCTGTACCATTCAACTCATGTCTACTGTTCCTCTGCAAAAATATTCTCTCTCTTTCTCTCCCCACCTCCACCCCTCTGACTTTGAGCTTTGTTTGGTTCTGAAGTTCCGCAGTCGTATTCAATGAATAGCAACTACCCGCTAAAGCTTTAGCCCTGTCTTCTGAAATAGACCTTGATGAGTGGATTCCCAAGTGAACCATCAACTTTCTCAGCTTGTGTGTTCAAGTAATGGCTCCCATATCGAAGCTTTCTTTCAGGAATGCGCTGCACTTTAGATCATGATGTCTGTTTCTATTGTTTTATTAGGAAAGGAAAATCTATTTGAGAAGTTCTTTTATATTCTGATCATTGTTTTCAAAAGCATGTACTTGATGCTTCATATATTATATATAATATATATATTGTTGTGCGCAATTGGCTGTCACGTTTTGCCCACAAAATATACAGTCAATTCACTTCACAGTATATTCTGTGACACGCTTTGAGACGTCTCGAAGACGTGATAAGGTGCTATATCAAATGAAAGGATTATTAAGAATTATATATATTATATAGTCCTTGCATCACAACTGTTTCCTTTGCATCACTATAAAAGATTCTGTTCCCTGTACTTTTTTAATCGAGACGAGCAGACAACTAGCACTGAGGCCTCCGGTATAGCTGCACAGTTTCGCCAATCTCCCTGTACAACAGGAGTGATCATATTTTTCTCTCCCAATGGAGAAGAGTTTGAGCTCTGCTAAGCATCTTTCCTGATAGAGGAGCTGAACTCCCAGTGTTGGAAAATGTGTGCAGTGTAGTTATAAATTTATCCTAAATTATAATATGCCAGGTGACCAAGTCTATATCAAGTCTACACCAAGTTAGCCATTTTTTCAGTCTTCTCTTATAAGACTGCCATTGATATATTGGCCACAGCTGACCGTGTTATAAAGGAGTTGCCCTGTATCTTAAGGAAAATCATTTTGTTGGACTTTGTTGTGTTGAAAAAGGAATAACATAGATACGTACACCAGTTGCAAGTCCTAGAGGAATAGGCTCATGTTCCATTCTGCACTATCCTACAGGCGGTCAGCTGTAAGGGGCAACATAGTATCTCCTACACCTTGTCCAGGAACCAGACTGTGGTAGTGGAGTACACACATGACAAGGACACAGACATGTTTCAGGTAAGACCTCTCCAGTCTTTTTGCGATGGTGGTTTTTAAACAGTTCTAAGGTCTGGGTTCTTAAACGTTCAGGACTTGCATAACATGTTTTTCTGAATATTGCCAAATTGGAGAGAATTCTCCAAACTGTAGCGAGATTCTGTTAGCTCAGGTTTTCATTTGGGCTTAAGTTAACTGTGAATTCTGCCCCGGTTTATTTTTTATTGACTCCTAACACATTCCATTCCAGGAGTAAATAACAGCACACCACTTCTGATTAGGTTTGCAAATGAGCTTAGCAGCTCCTTTCCAAAGAAATTACATTACAATCGATATTGTAAGCTCTGCTAGTGGCTCTGCGGAGAAATGTTTATGTGGTATGGTAATGATTCATATAGACTGGATTGGGTCCAGGTTCAATCTTTGGTCTATGATGAGGTTATCTCGGCAGGGAGAGCACAATGCACAATATCCCTGTGCTGGGTTGGAAACGACTGCAAATATTCTTTTCTTTCTATTCTTGCTTATAATTTGTAGTGAATAGTGCCAGGAGTAGGAGGATCTGGGTTTGACAATGGTTCTCCTCGCCCCCTCCCCCCTCCCACACTTGATCAGTTTGGGAACACTCATTATCCAGGCTCAGACATGAAGAGAGGGCTCTAGGCTGACATCCTTGAACGTATGATCTGAGGAATCGTATTCTCAAACTGAATCCCTCCCTTCACTGGAGGAGCAGATGGAGACTATTCAAAAGGAAACATAGGTTTGAGGTGTAACTTGACATTGAGCTGCTTATACTTCATACACTTAATGATTTTATACAACAATTATTTTACTGCTTGATGAAAAGTCGATGCGTTTCAATCCAATTTGAGATTTGCGGAGTTTGAAGCATTAAATAACGATGTTTAATTGTTAATTTGATCAATGTCCATAACTAAGCCAATTGCACTTGCTGTAGTTTTAAACCACTGAACTGTAGAGCTTACAGTGGTAGAAATTTTAGAAACAAAAATTGATCTCACATACATATAATTTGTTATGCACAGGCTTTCTGGAATATGATTTGTTGCTAATACATGAAAAGTTTTGTGTGGGGGTTTATTCACAGGAAATGCAAGCATTCAAACATCTGTTTTCATGTTCGCTTTTGTCCACAATGCCCTTTCCCTGCCGGATTTGCTTGCTGGGTTTTACACACTACTGTTACTGAAACTCCTTGATCTGTATGCATGGAGTGTGCTAAACCTGGAGTCAATTTTCCATATAGCTACCGGCAAGAATGGACAAATTTTGCTCTTGACTTCTACTTGAGCTCTGAAATTCCACCTATTCTTAGCTTAGCTTGTGAGATCATTTTGGCTTCAAACTTAAGATGATAACAGAATTCAAGAAAAGACTTTGTTTTAATTCGGGAGCAGACATCCACAGTTCTTAGCAGAACCGGCTTTCAAATTAAAATTTTTAAATAATTTAACAATTTTCCACAATTCAACACAATTTTACTTAACAATAAGAATGGGTGGAATTTCAGACCTCTGGTAAGTGAAACATAATAATAATAATAATAATAATCCTCGCATTTGATATGGCGCTTTTCACGTCAGGAGGACATCCCAAAGCGCTTCACAGAACACACTGTAAAGTAAATTGACTGTATATTTGTGGGCGAACACAGCAGCCAATTGCGCACAGCAATGTCCCACAAACAGTCGTAGATTGAAAATGACCAATTTATTATTGTTTTTAGTTTTTGGAGGGATTATTATTAGGCGTGTGGAGTAAGGAAACTTGCCCAAGGTTTTGCCCTGCCTGGAATTGAACTCAGGTCTCTCACTTGCAAAGCGAGTGCTCTAACCACTGAGCTACAGGACTCCACAATAATACCCTTGTGAGGGGAAGGCAAGATTGAAACCTACAATCATTTTGATGAGAGGCAAATATTGTTATACCAACTCTACTGCCATCCACATAAGCCATAATTGGAATATAATACCTTTCTGACTATTGCTCTGTTTTTCTAGTGTTCCTTTCTAACGATTTGGAAAGGAACACAGTGGCAGGAAGGTGGAAGAACAATTTGCACTTGTGTAATTTCATTAGCGGAATTAAATTCACTTTTTGTTTTAATATCCTGCTGCATTTTTTTCATTACTTAGCAAATGTATCTCATTGAAGTTTCCTGATTCCATTATTTGTTTGTGTCTTTGTTTTTCCATAGATCGGGAGGTCCACAGAAAGCCCCATTGACTTTGTTGTGACCGACACTGTTTCTGGTAGTCAGAGTAATGATGAGACTCAAATCACCCAAAGCACCATCTCCAGATTTGCATGTAGGATAGTTTGCGACAGAAGTCCTCCATATACTGCACGGATTTATGCAGCAGGATTTGATTCATCTAAAAACATATTCCTTGGAGTAAGTACAGAATACTATCTGAACAGTAATACTGTAATAATAATTCTTGCGTTTGATATAGCAATTGATCACGTTGTCAAGATGCCTTGCAGCGCTTCACAGGATATACTGCAAAGTGGATTGACTATGGGCAAAATGTGGCAGCCAATTTGCACACAGCAATATCCCATAAACAGCATTGGAGTGAGTGACCAATTTTATTTGGGGGATTGTTGGCCAGGACACCAGGAGAAACTCCCTTCTCTTTTTGAATAGGGATCTTTAACACCTACCTGAACAGGCAGACAAATGTGAACTGGGAAAACATTAATAGTGAAGCCAAACCCAGAGAACTTCCTTTCAAATTCCATTTTAAATCTTCGCACATTACTATTCAAAAGAATCATCTTTACTTAATTCATGAAATGATATTTTGTACAACGGAGGCCTAACATTTTGCATACGATTACTGTCTTAAAATTAGACAAAATGTTGGAAAATTCTTAAATTTAATCTGACCATGGAAGCCAGTTTCCCTCAGTTCTTTTTCAGAACTTGTAGCACAAATTTGCATTTATATAGCGCTCTTCACATAGAGCCCATTTACACTGGCAACACAGACTCTGTGCTGGGTGGGGGAGAGAGAAAAAGTTAGAAAGAGATGATCAGAGGCATAGTCGAACAGGTAGGTTTTTAAGCTGAGGCTTGAAAACAGATAGAAAGGGGTGAGACAAATGGGTTGAAAGAGGGAGTTGTAGAGGTAGGAGCGTAGAAAGCTCAGCCTCTAATGGTGGTACGGGTAGGGCTGGGGAAGCCCGAGTTAGCAAATCAGAGGGGACGAGCAAAGAAGGTGCAGGAAAGAGAGGGAAATGCTAGAGCTGAAGGGATTTGTAGGTGAGGGCGAGAAGACGGAGAACCAGTGGAGTCTAGCAAAGCAAAGACTAGACCTACAGAGGTTGGTACGGGTGAGGATATAAGTCGCAGAATTTTGGATGAGCTGAAGTTTATTGATAACGGAGCTGGGGGAAAAACAGGTGAGGAGTGCATCAGAAACCTCCCAATTGGGAGGTGACAAAGACATGGATAAGGATTTTCAGCAGCATTTAGAATGTGGTGCGGGAGGGGGTGGTGTGAAGTGTCCAAGGTGAAGAGTTTGGATTCCAAATTAAAAATGAATTTACCAATTTCTCCGTAATTCTGCATGACCTTAAATTGTAGGATGTGCAGTTCAGGCCATGAGAATCTTTGTCCCTCTGGTATTCGCTACCATCATTTTATAACTAAAGTATTCTTGACCGTTTTACTATGTAATTGGTATCAAAGGGCATCTTTTACTTTACAAGCATCCACCATCCCTCAATTCCCTCTATCCCACATGCTATGTGGCTTTTTTTCATGCTTCTTCATCATCTTTTCATCAGGTTCATGTATTCCAGGCTTTGCTCAGAGAACCTTCATACAGTGCTTGCTACAACTGGTTTCCTAGTCACATTCTAGTTTATGCGTTATTCTGTTATTAGTTATTATGCATTTCGCCTGCAAATATATAGTCAATTCACTTTACAGCATATTCTGTGAAGAGCTTTGAGACGTCGAGAAGACGTGAAAAGCGCTATATCAAATGCAATAATTATTATTATTATTATTATGCACATCAAACACTCACACAAGTCTCATCTTTTTTTCATCGCCTGACATTTAAATGTAACTTCTAGAGATAAAAAATTGTAACAGTTCAAAACCAGCATTATTAATAAAAGAAGAAGGCATTGGAGAGTTGTCGATGAAGAATGACATTTTTCACTACAGATGGATATGTTCTTACACTTTTATTAGGAGAAAGCTGCGAAGTGGAAAAATCCTGATGGTCACATGGATGGGCTGACAACTAATGGAGTGTTAGTGATGCATCCACGAGGAGGATTTACAGAGGAGTCTAAACCTGGAGTGTGGCGGGAAATTTCTGTTTGCGGTGATGTATACACACTAAGGGAAACACGATCAGCTCAGCAAAGAGGAAAACTGGTATGTAAAAATTACTGGAATAAACATGTTGGTGTCCACCAATGTGCTATGTGCACCAGTTAACTCATGAAATGCACAAGATCTGTTTAACATGGCAGACAAGAAAACATATTTGGTTGGTAGTATTCTGGTAGTTAATGCATAATAGACGTATTCTACCAGGATGAGCATTCTTATATCAACTATTTAAATAAAAAACTGTGAATGTGTATGTTTTATAACTGCTAATTTGATTGTTATTAGATCTATTCCATAGTTTCCGTATTAGGTTTTGTGTGGTATGCGGAAGGAATGATACTTTTGTCTGCTTTCTTATGTTCTAATTTGCATATGCTATTTGAATGTTACTCGGTTAGTTCACAAACCATGACGCCAACTGTGAACCTTTGCAAATTCTCAACAACAAATTGATTCTACTCTGAAGACTTGTTACAGGAGTCTGTTCTTACTAGATTGAGGTGAAGGTTCGGGGTTTAAATTGATAATGGAATATTGGCTTTCAGGATATATCTCATCAAGATTGGCATTAATTCACAGAACTCGCAGGTTAAATGCAAAATCAATTGTTTCCTACCGATTAGGCCTTGGTTAAATTCATTTTCTTAATGGACTTATTCAGAAGATCAAAAACCAGTTCGGAGCTGTAGGGTTCATGGACTTTGAATCCGTGATAAATATAAATACACATGCCATATAAATGGTCTATTTTTGAAACTTTGTGGCTGTGGTAACACAACTAAACATGAAGGGGACAAATTCATTGCATCGAGCCTCCAGACCATGATTTGGAATCCCATCAAATGGAATACTAGTTGCTTAGCACTCTGCATACCATCTAAGGCAGGAGACCAAGTGTTTCCAAATTCCAGGTAACTCCTTCCAGCTGCTCAGGTCCCAAGCCTTCAAGTTTCTCGTCAGTCCTTTGACTAATATCCAGTTAGCATAAGGAGCGACAAGAGCAGTATATAGCAGCCTTTCGTGTAAGGAGAGTATCTCAAAGCTCATTGCAAATGCTGAGCAGTGCCCAAGGTGGAGGGGAGGTGGCTGAAAGCGCAGGGAAAGAGAAGTATTTAGACTAGTTTTGAAAGGTGAAAGGGAGTGGGTGAGGCAGAGGGATTTAGGAAGAGAATTCTAGACAATGAGTGTAAAGTGGCTGGAAGCTCGCTCGCAAATGTGGTGGGGACGAGTGGTGGGTGGGGTGGGGAATGTGTGCAAAACAGGCCAGAATTGATAGAACGGATGGAGTTGCTCGGGAGTAGGGTTGCAGGTGATACTGTGAACATTAACTGAAGATGTGCCAGGCATCTCAATGTGAATATGGATCCTTGGTTAAAAAGGCTTTGTAGAGCAGGGGCCAAATTAACACTATACCCTGGAAGCAGAATCAGCTGTATGGGGAGCTCATGTCTCAGCCAAAGCCCTTTAAATGAGTAACTGGATTAAACAGTTGGTGTTGAGCAAATGTGGTACATGACATTGGACTTTGACCTCATTAAAATAAATTGGACAGCATTCTGCAGCCTGAGAATTCTAGGCTGCAAATGGGCATCTGTGTAAGCTTTTTTTTTCCCCCCTGTGTAATGCCCATGGCTCATCAGGGATGTTGGCGCACAGTGAAGCCGCATTAAACAAAGCCACTGCCCTTGCGTTGGCAACATTACACTTAACCCAGTTAGCAGCGCTCCAGTGACAGGAGATAGTAAAAGACGGTTGCTTTAATAACATTAAAAAAAACCTTACAAGTGTTTCACTGAACTGCCCAACATGTTTCACTTTATACCTTAAAGTCTAAATTGCATGCTTTGTGCCAGTTGCATTGATCAAAGCCTCAGTGGTATAAATCTTTGTGGTAAATTGGATCAACTCAGCTCTCTTGTGTAAATCCACAGATCTATTCCAAATTATAAATTGAATTGAATCAACAATAACAATTTACACTAACATCAAAAAATGACCACTTCCCCACAGTAACCTAAAATGGCTATGTGCTACATTACCGAGATTCTGCATGCATCAAAAGCCAGGAGGTTTAGACCTGTACTCTCTGTGTTTCTATTTCTGATCATTTTCAAGGCAAATTGCCAAACTGCCGATTGCTACCAGCTCCACCATTTAATGTCGGAAGTTACTGAGCTGCAGTTAATTAACAAAGATGGTCATTAATCCAGGGTGCATCAGCTCCTTCATACGTATGGTCCAATAACTCCTCCCAATAATTCTTTCACGCGCCCACAAAATATACAGTCAATTTATGTTGTATAAAATGCAAGAATTATTATGATTATTATTAACTCTCATGGTTCAAATAAAATTGGTTTTAACATAAAAATAATTTAAAAAACATGAATCTTGTTTGATTTTTACATTGTAATGGTTTAGGAGACTAAACTTTTGCTCCTGGGCCATGCATGATAATGAGGGCACATTTTGTGCCAAGGATTTGCTACTGGGGCTGATTTCTACAAAAGATTGCGAGAATGAAGAGGCTGAAACTCCCATTGTATTTCCTTCCTAATGGGGAGGTTGCCTCCACTCAGCAGAATGCTCCTCTGAATGAGATCAGGAACTCAGTAATATGGGCTTACCACTGCTGTAATACACTGGCCATTGCATGCCTAAAGGAGTTCCAGAGGGTAACATGGAACGGAAACAGGCCATTCAACCCAACTAGTCTGTGCCGGTGTTTGTACTCCACACAAGCCTCTACCCATCTTATTCCCCTCACCTACACCCATCTATTCCCTTCTCCCTCATGTATGCATTAAATTTTCTCTTGCTTCAACCACAGTTCTTTCCAGAGTTCCACATTCTCACCACCCTGTATGTGAAGATATTCCTTCTAAACTCCCTATTACATCAATCCACTACCTAACTTATATTTATGTTCTCTTGTTTTGGACGTACCAACAACAACAGCCTATCAAAATCCACCTTATCAAAATCTTTCACCATGTTGTTGTTGTTGTTGTTGTAAACACCTCCGAAATCAATCAGGAGATTGATTTTTACTAGGTTTGGTAAGAAATAGTAGTAAAGATTATGGATTTATCCTTTATTTTTCACTGCTGAAGGTACAGCTGCAAAGTTGTTAGGTGAGATTGTTCTGAAAGAATGGAATTTTTAATATCTGTCATATTGCACCCATTTCCTTAGGTGGAGAATGAAACTAATGTTCTTCAAGATGGTTCCCTCGTTGATCTCTGCGGAGCAACGCTTCTGTGGAGAACGGCAGATGGCCTGTTCCATACGCCTACTCAAAAACACATTGAGGCTCTTCGACAGGAGATAAATGCTGCTAGACCACAGTGCCCGGTTGGGCTTAATACTTTAGCATTTCCCAGCATCAATCGCAAGGATGTCGTAGAAGAGAAACAGCCTTGGGCGTATCTCAGCTGTGGCCATGTTCACGGTTACCACAATTGGGGACATCGCAGTGACACAGAAGCCAATGAGCGAGAGTGCCCCATGTGCAGAACAGTTGGTCCATATGTGCCTCTTTGGCTAGGTTGCGAGGCTGGATTTTACGTGGACGCAGGCCCTCCAACGCATACATTTAGCCCATGTGGACACGTGTGTTCTGAGAAAACAGGAAAATACTGGTCACAGATTCCGTTACCACATGGTACTCATGCATTCCATGCAGCATGCCCTTTCTGTGCTATACAGCTCAATGGAGAACAGGGCATCATTAAACTAATTTTCCAGGGACCAATTGACTGATGTGGAATTGGAGGAGAACACAAAGAAAAAGAAAATCCTTTTTAGGGGGAAATACTGTGAAAATGATCTGCCACTGTTGCTCGATGATTGGCATCACCATTTGTTTTGGAAGGGTAGGGACGCTAGAGATTGCAGGAACACAAGGTACTTCTGATGTACTTCTGAGAACAATTCAGAAATTTCAGTAGGTGCAGGATTCGGAGGAGTCATTTTTAAAAGCTACTACTTTAAAATAGAAAAAAAATCCCTTTATTCTAACCTATTTTGCTACACTGTGCCCTTTGTATAGTTTTATAATTTATATGATTTTAATATATTATGTATATACTGTACTTGAATTGGCCTGTCCAAATATAGCTGTAAATTATTTTATGGCTGTTACGTAATCTAAGCAGGTGAAGTATTTCCTTTCTTTAGACATGTTCTTTTCTTCAGTAAAGGCATTCGGCAATGATTCAACGTCAGTTGGCTTCATTTCTCTGGTGTGCACACGTAAATGTTGAGCAGTTAAGTTTCTACTCCAGAGATCACTAAATGCTGAGATATTCTTTTTCAAAACTTTGCAAATCTTTTTTCAAAGAAATGTTCCTGAAATTCAAAGCAATGTTGCATTTTGCATCGGATTGTTGAATGATATAATTAGGAGCGGCCCCTAATCCTTCCCCCCATCTCTCTCACAGAACAGAAAAGAAAACTGTTACAAATTAACCGAAAATGAAAATAAGACTATCAATTTCCATTTTGTGCAACAATTTTCTCTCAAGTTCCTGTGACATCTTTTTGTGTGTGATGTTACATACTTTTTTAGAATACCAATAATTGCTGCTGGATTCCAGTCTATTGGCTCTGTGATGTTCAGTATACTGCTTAGTTCTGCTGTGCAGTGTTATTACCCAAATCTTCTATCTTCCACCCCTTTGAGATCAGTTTACATTATTGCACCAAACTACCAAAAGAAGTCAGGAGCAACTCGAGGTGGAAAAGTCATTGATTTGATTTACGTTGTGATCAGTAATGGTTTCCTTATTTGGTTCACTAATCCTAGGGTAGATTGTACTTAATATTACTGAACAGTATGGAAAATCAATGCCACCAGAGCTGTGGATTAACCCTAAAGCAAGTTGTGATAAACTGGAATGTTTGCAAAGTCAAATTGTAGAAAAACTATCCAGGATTCAAAATTCTCTTAACAATTGTCTTGTAATGAAAGTATTTATTTATAATACAAACATAACTTTTTTTTAGACCACTCATTTTGAAATGTTTTTTTTCGTAAATGTTTGGAGAAGACATTCGCAAAAACTAAGTTGTAACTTGCGGTTTAATGCATCTCTGTTAAAATTAGTATGAAAGTAACCTGGGATAAGCTATAATTCGTGACACAATCAAACCATTTACATTGCTTCCTCCCACACATCCCCCTCCCCCCACCCCACCACCTATTGTGTTTACTTCGGGGTGGTTTTGGTGAATGCAAAAATCACTGTCACCCTCACCAAGTCCTTGCCTGAAACAGTTTGTTTTGAAACTCTCAGTCCTATAAGTGAAATATTGACCTATTTTAATTTATAAAATTTGTTTTGGTATTATGTAAGATGCTTGCAGTTATGATGTCTTGAATTCCGAACACAGACTTTATAGGTTGGGTGGCACCGACTTCCTTTAAATATATTACAACTGTGCTATTTTATTTGCTTATTGTGTACAGAATATTTTTAAGGATGCTTCATGTTGTAAGCATTTGGCTTGAATATTACCATGTACATTCATCATGTGCTTCAGGTCTTGACGATTGTCCATGTTTTCTATTGCACCCTGTTGATTTCATGAGTCAAGTGACAAGATTTTACCCTAACGAATGAATCATTTTTTTTTAACCTTTTATCACTACCCTTGGCACTTTTCGGTACAACTGAAACTGATTACTTGCACAAAAATTCAGGTGAATTTACGATCATTCACTCATCATGCTACAAGAAGTTACAAAGTCATTTGTAATGTAGCCATTGGGTTTCTTGTTAAAAGCAAATTTACAAAACTAACAGCATTCTTGCCTCCATCCTTTTTTAAAATCGATACTGTATGCATTTATTCCCACTGTTACTAATGGAGTATTTTACCAAAGTATTAAACGCTCAACTACGTATGCTATGATAGATTTTGCTGGCAAAATTACAGGAAATAAAAGCATTAGAGAATAATCTTGCGGAAGAAATTCATCCTACTTATTAAATTGTTACTCTTATGCGCATTTGTCAACCTTGTCACATGACTTTCACCTAACTCAATCTGTAACCTTTGTTTACTAGTTTAAAGAACACAAATAATATTCTCAGTGGAAATATGGCCTTTTTGAGTGTTTTCATCAATTGTCACACCAGATGTTAATTTCTATCCATATACAGAATGAAGGGCTTTCTGATTTAAGTTTTCAGACCATTGCCTCAAGGTGTGTGTGCCATTGAGATTTCTCTAGTTAAAATGTAGTAGCTTTACATAAGGCTGGTTTGGAAATAATTTTGCTGGTGCCTCAAATGCTAACTGATTTCTTGTGATGTATTATCACTTGCTAATAAAGGCATTTCCAGAAATATTTATGTATTCGATAGATTTTGGTTTGGAAGTTGGGTTATTGTTGCACAACTGTACAAGTACTTGCTCCATATAATTCATAAAGATCATGAAAGGTCTGGATGAAGAATGGTTTTCGACCCATTTGATTGCATTATTTGAGAACATCAACCCTTCCATCTTCTAATTACAGTATCAAACTCTCTGTTAAATGAGTCCAGTGCCCTGGCTTTGACCACCCTCTCTAATAACCCTTTCCAACTATTTATTGGTCTCTATCTGCTTTGTTTATTAATGCCCTATACAGGACAAGGTGAGAAATGAGTCATCTCACAATCATAGGTCTTTTATCTCTTGGAAAGATCTGTCCATTTACAGAGTACCTGTGCCTCATATTTTTGCCCTGATCCATTTGTTGTATTGAACACTTTGTATAATATATATATATATGCATATATGCATATCTGATTGGCTCAAGTATGAACCCCACTGAGCTGTCATTGTAAGATGTTGGCTGCCTCCTCTGATTCCACACTCACCCCAGTTAAGGATCATCTACAAACCTTGTACCTAGTTTGCAAATCAAGGACGTAAATATATCAAGAGAGAGGAGTTCCCAGGCCCATCATGGACCACTGAGATACCTCAATCAACTCTTCCCATTTCAACCTAGCTGTCTTTACAACTACTTTCTATTTCCTTAGAATTTAATTTATCAAATTACTAATCCACATTCATGTTACCCTGAATACCCACTGACAGTTTATAAAGGAGTCCCTTGCATGTTTAGTCACCCTTCTTGAATAATGGGAACCCTTTGCTCGAGTTGATGGGGAAACTTTTCTGTAAGTATATCACATGAGGAAAGTTCTTTAGTTCACCAAATTTTATGCTCTTAATAGATTATGACTATTGTGACTCTCCTAAATCTATAATGGCAGATTTTTAATCTATTGCTGTGAAAGTACTCCTCTGTCCTTTATCAGAATCGTGTCCATAATTTTACACATCAGTTTTAGGCTAATGGGCCTGTAATTGTTTGGGTCATTTATGTCCATTTTAAATAGAAATATTGCTTATCTGATTCCAACAGCGCTTAGCGATTTTCCTTATCAACACAATCTTTTCTACCTCTTACAATACAAGGACATTTGCAACCAAACCTGTCATCAGTTACTTCTTGATTTCTTATTTCATTTGTTCTAACAATCTTTCAACCTTTGTGGTATCCTGTGCAATCAGTCTTCGTTCTTCACCTTTTTTGTGTCAACCTGTCTCAGTTGGTAGCACTCACACCAGTGAGTCAGAAGGCAGTGGATTAAAGCCTGATATCTGGAATTTGAACACATATAATCTCCGTTGAGACTCCCTTGCATTGCTGGGAGTTTGCTGCATTATTTGAGGTGCCGTCCTTTTGATGAGATGTTAAAGTCTGTCTGCCTGTTCAGGTAACTAAAAACTCCAAAAAGAGAAGGAAATTTCTCCCAGTGGCCAACAATCCTGGCCAACAATCCCCCAAATCAAATTGGTCACACACTTCAATTTGGACATTGCCGTGGCAATTTGACTGTTGCGTTCATCTACAAAATACACAGTCACTGTGCAGCACATCCTGGGAAGCTCTTTGAGAATCATCCTGATATGAAAGGTACTATATCAAATGTAAGGATTATTATTCTCAAAATGTGTTTACAAAGTCACAGAATAGGTTTGTCAGAGGCAAAGTAAGGTTCCATTCCCAGACTCCTCCTTAAACCCAGTCTAAATGTACTCTTTAGTATTCCGAAGCAAGAAGCACTGAAAACATAAAAGTGTTTTATTCCCCAGCACTGACATCCCTCATGAGCACAAAAATTCACCATCAATCTTTTTTTAACTAACATTCTCTCCCTTTGTCACACAATGTGCAGCTATGCAGCAAAGCCAATCTACAAAAACACCTTTCTTCTACTCGCTTGGAGGTAGGATAATTTATTTGTGCTTTGCAATGACTATGTGGGTCACCGAATGGTGGAAAGAAAGATGAGAATATGTAGAATGTATATTCTTCAAAGATGAGAATGATGAGAATACTATCAAAGCTGTGATCAAAGTGAGAGGTTTAGAGAGGTTTTAAAGATGAGACAAAGGGATGTGGGGAGGCATAGTGGTTGATAGCTTGGTCAGAAATGGTGCTATCGGGGAGGTGAAGAGTGAGCAGCAAGTGGGAGTTGGATGAAGCAGAGGGCATGAGAATTTGAATGGAGCAGATTGCACAGCAAGGCTATGGTGCAAGGACATGAATATCAGAACGATACAATGGTGGCAGATATTGAAATTTGCTGGTATTATGCCAGACTACGGCACTACCTCACCCCTCACGCTGCTGAAACCCTGGGCCACGCCTTTATCACCTCAAGGCTGGGCTATGGGAAATCTCTCCTCGCCGGCCTTCCCGGCACCTCCCTCCACAAGCTGCAGGTCATTCAGAACTCTGCAGCTTGTGTACTGTCCCGCACCAGGCTTCGGGACCACATCACTACCACCCTCGCTCGCCTCCACTGGCTCCCCATCCCCCAGAGGATCGATTTCAAGATCCTCATCCTCACCTACAAGACCATTCACGGCCTTGCTCCCTCCTACCTCTCTGACCTACTATCCCCTACCTACCTGCCCGTACCCTCCGTTCCTCTGGCTCCGGTCTGCTCCACATCCCCCGCCCCAACCGCCCTACCATCGGTGGCCGGGCCTTCAACCTCTCAGCCCCTAGGCTTTGGAACTCTATCCCCAGTGCCTTCGCCTTGCCTCCTCCCTTTCCTCCTTCAAGGCCGGTCTCAAGACCTTTCTCTTTGACCGAGCCTTCGGCTCCCCTCTCGACTCTCTACCCCCTCCTCACTCCCTCCCTTCCCTCCCCTCACCCTGACCATTTCCCCCCTGCTCGGGTCCTGACCCAACTGTACAGTGCCTTGGGACGTCCTCCTGACGTGAAAGGCGCTCTATAAATGGAATCTTGTTGTTGTTGTTGTATTATACTGTTATTATGGTATTTATGTTAAATTATGTTGGGTACAAATTCAAACTGGAGAGCTCAATGGGAAAATAAACCCAACACCTCTAAAAATATATTCTCACTCCTCTTTCACGCTCTTGACCTGAGAGCGCCATTTGCTTGACAAGCAGGGCTCAGATTGCTTTTGAGTGTTTGCTTTTGGGAAGTTGATGCAGCTTAATGTTGCAGCTGCTGCCGCATTTTATTGCATAGAAACTTGCAGGTACAAGTTCAAATGATTCCTGAGTTTTATTCTGAAACGGGGATGGCCATGTGTTAGATGATTTCGAACCATTAAAAGAGTTTGGGGCAGATTTGAGGCCTTGTGTAGTAGCTGATGGTCACACTTTTACAGTGCTTGGCAGAGTCAGACAGAGTTAATAAAATTATACTACACACAATAAACAAGGATACCTTATAAGCTGTGATACTGCAACATATCAGGACTGTATAAGTTGATAGCAGCACTTTGCTCGCTGGTTGTTGTAATTCTGCTGTCCAAAAGAGAATACTTTTACACTCTCAGCGGTTCTCAGTTGTTGGAAGCTTGTATTCCCAGACAGAGCAGTTTTGGTTTCTATCATAGTTCCCAGACATGAAAAGTTTTATCTTTGATTTCTTCACTAAAGGCAAATCAATTCTATACACGGTTTATGTGTGACTTTTTCTCTGCTCCCTTTCAGTTCTTAAAAGTGTTGGGAGGATGTCTTAAAAGTCATTCTAATCATCAAATGTGGTTCTACTGTAAAAAAATGATGATATCCCCCAAATCCTTTAGTGTTCTTTTTATTACAGCAGTTGTTCTCTATTGTAAAATCGGTCATTCACTTCATGGCTCTCTGTGGGAAATTGCAAGTTTGCTGCCACATTGGCCAAAAAATACAAATACACTTTGCAGTAAAATCCTGTGAAGTTCTTGGAGTGTGTGAGTTCAAGCCCTGACATGGGACTTGAACCCACAACCTTCTGACTCAGAGGCAAGAGTGTTACTACTGGGCCAAGCCAAAGCACATGTAGACGTTGGGGAGGACAAGTTTGCAGGACTATCGGGAGAGAGCAGGGGAGTGGGATTGATTTGGATAGCTCTTTTAATGGCACAGACTCGATGGGCCGAGTGGCCTCCTTCTGTGCTGTATGATTCTATGAAGAGCATGATCCAGTCTTTGTGTGACATTCATGCACTTTCCAGTGGCGATCATTATACAGTGATCAACAGTGATAACTTCAGCTGACTTCTGTTTCTGTGGCCTGGAGTCAACCACAGCTGCTAAGATCAAGAATGGAAACGTTGCCTTTCCTGTTTTGTGCAGTTCAACAACAACAAGCTACACTTGTATAGCGCCCTTCACATGGGAAAGATGTCCCAGTTCAGTTCAGACTGTATTTACACACTGAGACATCTTAGCAGTTAATTCTGATCAAAGGCAGGATATGCTTCTGATACCAAAGTCAGGACAAAACCCAGCTGCTTATTTCAACTACTGAAACAGTCTTAAGTCATTTTCAATGAATTCTGCACCACATAAATTGCTAAAAGAATAACCCAGACAAATATATGTGTTGGAATTGTGAAATAATGCTTTTTACGCCAAAGGCTTGGAATTACTGTAGTTGTGAATTTGTAATTAAAGACAAGCTGTTGCCTAACCACTGGAATGTTTGAGATGAAGACAGAAGTCAAAGTATTTGTAACACTGAATATTTTTGAAGGTTGACTGTAAAATTGCTTGATAAATTGCATTTCGCCCACAGTCAATCCACTTTACAATATGTCCTGTGAAGCGTTTTGAGACTTCTCGACGATGTGTGATAAGACACTATATCAAATGCAAGGATTATTATTACCATTATAGGAATTGTAGCCAAAGTCAAATTAAACGAGGAGCCAACTCGAAAAGCTCCATCTGTATTGAGACACTGTTTTGTGTGTTTAAATTCCAGATTGTAGAGACGTGATGCTGGACACATTTCAAAGTGAAAGAATCTAAGCATTT